GTATCTGTTCTTACCAATAACTAAAGCAAATCGAATGTTTAATAAAAAAGGCATACCTCAAACACAGTTTTATTCACATCCGGTCGTGCGCATACTTGTTTTGACCTATACCTTCTCGCATCATAATATATCACTTCAGTGCTTAACCCTCAATGGAATTTTGGGTTTTCTGCATATACCCCGGCCGAGGGGAGGGGGGCGATTATGACCCCTCTCCGTCTTTTTGCCCCTAATTGAGCTAGCGCCTTGCGGATAAAACTGAGCGCGTGCGTCGTATGAGATGCAGCAACTGGTACCCGAGTTGAATGTCTCAGGTCAACCGGTAAACTCTGAGGTCAGTATAAGTGCTCCAAGTCGCGGGATCGGTTTTTGGTAAACAACTTCACCATAAGTGGTTACAGAGCCAAGATAATGGCACCATTGAGTTTTGCATGCTCAAGCGCGTCGAATGGCGTTTTGTTTTTGATGAGGTCAATTAGGTGTTCACCTCAGGTCATGTCAGGGCAGAGCCACTCAGGCCACGAGGCTGGCTCAAGGAGATCATATCGCTTCTTTGATTCGCTAGGTCCTCACAAGTCCACTGGTGGCTTCCCGACTCGCTAGCTCAATTTGATCGGGACTTTTTGGTGAAAACTCCTGTAACTTTACTGACGTCATAAATGAAGTCGCCTAACTTTAAGAATGGAAAAGTGAATGCTGGCCTGGGGCTTCCAAAGATTGTATAAAATCGCGAATTAGTGCGCTTGAGACAGCTTTAGATGGCTCCCGGCGCCAAAATAACAGTTTTCATATTTCCCAATTGATTAATAATCGTGAGGTTGCGTGACCGACCTGACTTCAGGTGACTCTTAAGAAAAATACGAGATAGCTACATACAAGTTGTGAGGCCTCTGGGAGATAGTAATAGATCATGTAAGCTTCATTCCCCGTTGAAAAGTCCCCTGGCACGAAGGGTGCTGCGACGTCGCGACATTTTGGGACCTTACAGAGGTTCACTTTTGACGTCATTGGTTAACGGCCTGAGCTGACCTTAACCTTCGCACTTGTAGGAGGGTGTCGAACAGACCTCCTAGTTCCTACCCTCAGTTTTTCGCAAATAACTCGCGCAAAAAGCGGCTGATTGCGACGAAACTTTCAGTACCCTCGAGTTAATCAATATAACGCCTACCCTATAATTTGTATGACCCTGACTCAAAAGACCTTTGACTTGTGACCTGTTTTCCGAGACCATGTTTGGCCGGAATCGCCTTTTGGCGTATTTCGAGTAGAGCGCGTTTTATTGTCTTTTTGTGGCTTTAAGCGATCAAACATGTGAAAGGATGTTGATCCCATGGATTCTAGTGGGTGTCAAGGTCACGTGAAGGTCAGTCAGGTCACTGACCTTTGATGACCTTTGTTCACTCTTTCGAGTTCTACATGTTTCTAGGGTAGATTTTGGAGTTGATTTCGCATTTAAAAACCGTTTGAGCATTTAATAAGTAGTTTTGGTTCCCTCGTAACATGTGACCTGACCTGACCTGACCCGACCTGGCCTAAATGCACGAAAACATCATCTGTGATCAAAACTAACTTGAAATTCGTGGTCAGCACCCCGCAAAACCCTATAACAGCTTCACTTTACGAAGCTCTAACAGGTCCCGATTCCCCGACTTTTGAGTTATATTGACCTGTCAACCAATGACCTATGACCTTAAAATTGGGTATCATCAGCCTCCTCTCGTCACGGGAAACACGCTCTTTTTCCGCGAAGCTCTAGCTCGATCAGGGGCTGAACGGCAAAGGGGTCCAACGGACCCTCCCCCCCCCCTCTACGATAGACGCTGGCAAAACACCAATATGGGCGAGGGTGAAAATACAGCTGCTGTCATAAAAATTCACTTTGAATCAAAGGTCAGGCTTGCCAAATTTCAGCTCTCGCAGCTATCAACAAAAATAAACATGTGGAGGCGGCACCCGCCTCCCCCCTCTCCTCTCGGCCACTGCCAGCGAGGTTTTAGGCGTATCATACACGTTACAAAGCATCATATCAAGATAACACACCCCAGCAGCCATATGCACTGAACAAAAACTTATTACCCTCACTAGTCTATCGGCACCATAGCACATGGTCGAGACTGTCGTCAGCCACGGACGCGCACTCGACCAGCCCTCTGAGCCCGTTGACTGCGGGTGACCTTGACATGTCAAGCCTGATCGGCGCGGCGGCCGGCCGCTGTCGTGCGGTCGTTACACGCGAGAGGAGGGAGACACAAAGCTCTACGTTATAGCTGACCTCTGACCTTTCCCTGCGCCCTGGTCACTGACCCCGCTCCATGTCGCTGGGCGGTGGCATGGCGGTGGAAACCGGTTCTAGCCTCTACACATGCCACCATTCTAACCCTCCCCTCCCCACGCTACTACGCGGCGTGGAGTACGCTCGTGCGTAACTGGGCGGAGCAAGGGGTCACGCGATACAGGGGCGGAACTGGTTGCCCTCCCGCTCGCCGAGCGACCAACGACTAATACCCTGGAGAACCGTACATAGAAAGGAGACGAGAGAGATTGAGAGAGAAGAGAGAAAGAGAGAGAGAGAGAGAGAGAGAGAGAGAGAGGCGAGAGGCGAGAGGCGAGAGGACACATATTTCTTCCCCCCCCCCCCCCCCCCCCCCAGGAGAGAAGGGCGAGGGCGATAAAGCGCGACCAATAATGAGATGTGACACGCGGTTTGCCGCGCGATCTGGGCGCTGGGACCGGTCGCGGTATCCTATGACTGATTTGATGGCGCTGTATCGAGTGCAGCGCGCTCATTCGTCAGACAAATATGCCACGCGCAAGAGCAGACCGCTCATCGCCGTCGGCCTGCTCGGCGGCCGGGTCGATTGCATCAATACGGGCGCGGCGCGGTACGTCCGGCCGGCTGGTGTCATTTCGCCGCGCGCCGGGAGGATGCCCTGCGAGTGCGACACGCACACACCCCGCCGAACATCTGCCGCAGCAGAGCCTAATTAATGGCCCGCCTTCACTGCTCAGCTCTCCGGCCGAGCAGACGGCGAATAGGAGGAGGTCTTATCCATAATACGGAACGGAGAAGATGAGATGGGTCGTGTGACTATTTTCAGCTTGATAGACTTGTTGGATCATCCGACCAATGATGACACAGTAGTCATCCAATGCTACAGTTCAATTTGCAGGAAGACTTACCCTTATTCTCTTTCATCTCGGAATTTCCTTTTCAATATGTGCTTTTTTGTCTGGCTAATTATTCTTCCTGCTCGCGTCTCACGAGGTTTTGCTTATTCACTTGAAGCGATCAGCTATCGTGAGGTAAATATACAGACAAGAGCAAGGGTCATGGTTTTGTTGCATGCAACAGAAACAAAACACAACATAGCTTATATATTTTGCAAATATATTTGATTTTTATGTTTATTTAATTGAATCCAATATGCTCATACTCTAACTACTATGAACGTCAAACCCCTTGAGACACCACTTTTTTGCGATAATTTTTAAATGCGTCAACTTTCGTTGACAATATTCTGGCAATGTATGTTTCAGAACCTGCCGAAACTTTTATTACTAAGGTATTTTGACGCCAAACGATTATGGAAGGTACTTCTCATTCACTCGTAATGTTAAGGTCAATTCAGGCCCGGGCAGAGGCTTGCGCTCGGCCACACTCGAGCCCCGCCACCAGCGCCATCTGCTCTAAATGCCATCTACCAGCGCCCGCTACCGCTACCAGCTACCGCCCACCATCAAGCCTGAATGGAGCGAGAGACGCGAGTGACCGGTCGCCGGGCAAGGAGCGCCGGAGGGGTAGGGCGGAGCTTAGCGCTGACGTCATTACGTGGCTCCGCCCCATGAGCGCGTAGCCTCTACCCAAACAGCAGATTCGTTCCGTGAAATTTAACATTACGAGTGAATGAGAAGTACCTTTAATAATCGTTTGGCGTCAAAATACCTTTGTAATAAAAGTTTCGGCAGGTTCTGAAATACACATTGCCAGAATATTGTCAACGAGAGTTGACGCATTTAAAAATTATCGCAAAAAAGTGGGGTCTCAAGGGGCTTGACGTCCATAGTAGTTGTTTGCAGCCTGCTCCATATTATAAGACACAATCTCTCTGACTGGGTTCCTTTGTGGCCCGGCAGATGGAGCGGTCACGGCAGGTCAGCTCCGCACAGCACCTGCCGCAGAGGTCGGATCTCTCCCTGTTCTGCGACCACCTGTGACACGCCATCAGGCACGACCAGCCGGGTACGGCTCTGACAGACGGGAACCGGGCCAGACGGGAGAACCGTACCCAGACGGGAGCACCGTACCCAGACGGGAGCCGGACCAGACGGGTACGGCTCTGACAGACGGGAGACGGGCCAGACGGGAGAACCGTACCCAGACGGGGAACCGTACCCAGACGGGGGCCGGGCCAGACGGGAGAACCGTACCCAGACGGGAACCGGGTCAGACGAGAGCGCTGTGCCCAGACAGGAGCCCCGTGTCCAGACGGGAGCCGGACCAGACGGGAGAACCGTGCCCAGACGGGAGCAGTGTAACCAGCCGGGAGCCGGACCAGACGGGGGCACCGTGCCCAGACGGGAGCCGGACCAGACGGGAGCACCGTACCCAGACGGGAGCCGGACCAGACGGGAGAACCGTGCCCAGACGGGAGCCGGACCAGACGGGGGAACCGTGCCCAGACGGGAGCACCGTACCCAGACGGGAGCAGTGTAACCAGCCGGGAGCCGGACCAGACGGGGGCACCGTGCCCAGACGGGAGCCGGGCCAGACGGGGGCACCGTGCTCAGACGGGAACCGGGTCAGACGAGAGCGCTGTGATCAGAAGGACACCGGAAGTCAGCCGGACGTCAGACGGAGGTCACCTGAGGTCAAAAGAAGTGCTGGAGGTCAGTTGAAGTTACAGGAAGTGCTGGAGGTCAGCTGAGGTCACAGAAGGTCATCTGAGGTCACAGAAGGTCAGCCGAAGGTCCACTGAGGTCACGTGAGGTGCTGAAGGTCAGCTGAGGTCACAAGAGGTCAGCCGGAGGTCATGTACGCGTCTGTGAGCGGCCACTCGGCCGGCGGCAGCAGCAAACACTACTCCAACAAGTCGCGGGCGGGCCGCCAGCCGCGCTCACTCTACCGGCGCCTGGTCAACCTGGTCACACAGTACGTGACCGGGGTCCAGTTCATATCAGGTGGGACCGGGGTCCAGTTCATATCAGGTGGGACCGGGGTCCAGTTCATATGAGGTGGGACCGGGGTCCAGTTCATATCAGGTGGGACCGGGGTCCAGTTCATATGAGGTGGGACCGGGGTCCAGTTCATATCAGGTGGGACCGGGGTCCAGTTCATATGAGGTGGGACCGGGGTCCAGTTCATATGAGGTGGGACCGGGGTCCAGTTCATATCAGGTGGGACCGGGGTCCAGTTCATATCAGGTGGGACGGGGTCCAGTTCATATGAGGTGGGACCGGGGTCCAGTTCATATGAGGTGGGACCGGGGTCCAGTTCATATCAGGTGGGACCGGGGTCCAGTTCATATCAGGTGGGACCGGGGTCCAGTTCATATGAGGTGGGACCGGGGTCCAGTTCATATGAGGTGGGACCGGGGTCCAGTTCATATCAGGTGGGACCGGGGTCCAGTTCATATCAGGTGGGACGGGGTCCAGTTCATATGAGGTGGGACGGGGTCCAGTTCATATGAGGTGGGACCGGGGTCCAGTTCATATCAGGTGGGACGGGGTCCAGTTCATATGAGGTGGGACCGGGGTCCAGTTCATATGAGGTGGGACCGGGGTCCAGTTCATATGAGGTGGGACCGGGGTCCAGTTCATATGAGGTGGGACCGGGGTCCAGTTCATATCAGGTGGGACCGGGGTCCAGTTCATATCAGGTGGGACGGGGTCCAGTTCATATGAGGTGGGCAGTCACTTACTCCGTGACTGGGATCCGGTTCATATAAGATATCTATCGGTGCCATCGAGTGTATTTTTACGCTGTATTTATTGAGTTTTCATAAGCTAGAAAGGCGCACATTGCACAATATTGATTTTTTGTTATTACTTATCGATGGCTCTAAATGTTTCCCTTTGTTTGAAGTACTAGATTATCGATGGTTCGAAATGTTGCCCCGATACCAGATGCAGTAGCTTTGTGAACGAATGGAACCATTTTTTTTTTATTTTTACACAAAGAGGTCACAATGAATAAGACTTCAGTTTATGCGGTGGTCAACGATAAATCATAGCGACAAACTAGAATAAACAAAAGCTCAATATCAACTCTATATGGTATAGTCAAGCAGTAAAATACCTTTTGGGACAATAAACGAGCGAGCGAGAGCGTAAGCCCACATATCGACACCTTTTTTTAAACCCCACATTTGTTCTCCGGTGAATTTCAGACAAGTTGGTTAGAGACCTTCAAAAAAGGTACAATCACTCGATTTTTCTCAAGTTTGTCTGTCTTGGCAGATAAAGCAATACCAGAACAGGCCTACGAACACACATATTTGATCAGGATCGGACGATTGGACACTTTTAAAAGGAGATCTTTCGTGCCTCCCGGAAATTCACGGGAGAGCAGATGTGGGGTTTAAAAAAAGGTGTCGATATGCGCTATTGCGAGGGGGTACTTTCAGCTGGCTTGTGCACGGCACCCTACTTACCGGTGATCTCTTGCGGTGTACCAAAGCTGGGCGCAATTTGGCTAGCAACTGGCCCGTTCTTGAGATATAGGAGCGCCCGGCACTCTTCACGTGCGCACGTGCACACTTCGTCCAAACTGACTTTTGCACGGTACCCTACTCGCCGTTCCCTAATCGTGTACCTAATTTGAACGCAATCGACCAAGCCATTCTCGAAATCTGGAAACGACCTCAGCACGTACGCACGTGCAGTAGCACCCCAACCGTGACACATATTCAGTGCAATCACCCCAGTAATGGGTGAGCTATTGCAATGGGAACAAACTTGACACCTCTTCTTTTTGCATTTTGCACGTGCAGCGGGGGTTACTAAGTTACTTGCATACATCAAGAATATCCGATTTTTGGTAGAATGGATGCAGCTACTATAAAAAATGCCGCAAGTCAATCGTCCCAGCGGTTCCTGAGATATAGGCCTCTCAAATGCGCTACTTCTGCAAAACAGCTTGAACTGAACACCCTTGACTTTTCCGTGGCACGTGTTCGATGGTCACCTAGATGCATCAGGAGAAGTCAATTACGGGGCAAGGCTACCCACCAAAAAATGCTGCAGGCTGATCAACCCGCTCGGTTGCTGAGATATAAGCCTCTCAAAAGCGTTACAGGCCCGGTTGGGCCGGGCGGCTCATACTGAGAATTTTCCTTTGTGTTGAAAAGACTCGTGTGTTGAAAAGCTCGCTCGTAATGAAAGCAGAAATAGTCGGTTACGCCTGATTTTTATTTAACTTTTCCCAACTAGAAAAGATGCAGGCTACAACATAAGAAATAACGCCTTGCCACGCAAAATAAATATGATCGTTCAAGCCTTCAAACATGCTCCAGCTGAGAAAGGCTATATACGATAGTTTCTAGACACCACCTGCAGGCCATCATTATCCATTTATTCTAGCTGCCGACGGCGATTTCCGTGGGTGACGTGTCACCGGCGTCGGCAGGAACGGAGCAAACAGTCTTGGCGAACTGCCGACCTCGCTGTAATTTCATACACCGCGCCAATTACAGCCTCATTTGAGAGCCTTTGTTTTAGTAGAGGACGGCATCATATCCTTCTTGGAGGCGTTCTCGGAGATCAATCTTGACGGACAAACAGATTCAGTGTTGGAAACAAGGCATTCAAATTAACGCAATTCGTCCCTCGAACCACCAAAGTGAGTCACTTGAGTCAACCCCTAGACCTTCTATTGTGTGTGCTACCCAGCGGAATTGCTGAAATTTCAGCACAACTCCTACTCCAAGCCACTCGAGGATCATCGGTATCTCATTCATCTACATTCAGTCGTTTGATTTAGGCGGATATTGCTCTTGGCTGGGTATTTGAATGGCGACGAAAGTCTCATTTATGCGGCGTCCGCGGTGCAGCTGCAGACTGCAGCAGCCTGCCCTGCTCAATAGGAGGTTCTGTGAGCGAACGATCGTGCCACCGCGGGCCCGCGCCTCTCGCCCGCGCACTGTGTATTTCCAAAGTGTCATTCACGGAGGGGGCTGTAAATAACGGATGGCTGCAGACTGGCTCATCCACTAACGGCCTGTCCGTGTGCACATCCCCGAGTAAACATACACACACCTCCGCAGCCACACACTCTGACAGGTCACATCCCCCACACACATACACCGAGACAGACTGCAAACACGTTATGCATGCAACTGAATGAAATTGGAAAGTCATCGGAACCAAACCACGATTTAACGAGTGAGCTATTTATGTATACTGAATCTGATCACACTGGATAGTCTGCCAGCTGTTTGAGGCTCTGCCTGTCTGTCTGTCTGTACTCTGTCTATCTGTGTCGCCTATGTACCAGCTGCGTGTGTGTGTCTGTGTGCCCGGACAGACTCTGATCTGGAGGAGTTTAGCACGGAGCGCCGCTACAAACCCCAGGACGTCACCACGCTGTCCACCCACACGCATTTTTCGCCGCACGAGGTGAAACGCATCTACCGCGGCTTCAAGGTCGAGTGCCCCATGGGCGTCGTCGGAGAGGAGGACTTCAAGGATATCTACTCGCGCTTCTTTCCAAGACAAGGTAAAAGACATGTTCGTTGTAGGTACGCATATTATACATAGTAGGTACATACACTTCATTTTGTTAGACTTTGGGGTGTTTGAGGTGGATTACGTACTTGTTATCTGATTAAAGCACCTAGTCTTAGATAATAGCGTCTACTACGCACAATAAAGCTAAGCCGATGGGCATTTGACCTTCGGCGTGAATAGCAGTCAGCTTCAAGTGTCTTTTGATTCCCCCATTCGCTACCTTAACTGCAAATTGGCGAATGTTTTGCTGGCGGAAGAAGATCATCACTATGCAACATATGGTCTCAAACGAGGCAAGAGTCTGCTTTTGCGGGTGCCAATGCTAGGTAGGATGCTTATTACAGGCGAATCACTCTCTTTTCAGCCAATACAAGCCTATACGCACATTACGTTTTCAAGACATTTGATGTGGATTCTACAGATCCTGTTATAAATTTTGAGGTAAGACAGTGGCGGCATTTGCCTACTATGCATTTCAGACCCCATGAGACCCTACTTTTCGGCGATAATTTCTTCAATTTTTGTCCAATTAGCTTGAAATTTTGGCAAACGATATTTCAGCTCAAGCGCCAATTTTTGTCAATATGGTCTCTTAACAAAATATCAAAATTTAGAGCACTTGTCGTTGGCTCGTAATGCTAATCAGTTTTTGCACCCGGATAGAGGCTCGCTCGCTACCGCACCGGATTGGATAGGAGCGCTGGCCAATCACGTTGCGCCGGGCCCAACTAAACTCCGCCCACTGGCCGTGACCGGGATGGGTCTATGCCGCTTCAGTCGGTGTCAGCACCGCGGAGAGGTCGGAGCGGGACCACATACTGGAGACAAGTGGAAGCTGGCAAAGTTGTTTCGGGACGAAAGCCAAAAAAAATATCTGTTTGAGGGCATTTGGTATCCTCTTCACCTTATTTTGGTATTTAAACATCGAACCAGCTCAGAATATTCAGAATGATCAAAATCAAGGTAGGATCTATTGGAACGGAACCGGCCCTATGAAGGAAAGAGGGATAGACTCTTGGACTCTGAACATTTATTTAAGCCGGAGTTGCACCTATCTCATCGTCAGGTTGGGTCAGGTCACTACCCGATTACCTAGAAGATCATGTGTAAGCCTGTGCTTAACCCAAAAATATTGATATATTTGGCAGTGCCAATAAATGTTTCTGAGGAAGGCGCAGAAAGCAACATAGTAGGATGAAGAGTCTCGGGCACGGCCGATTGCCTGGGGCATTGCTCCAGCGAAACGACCGTATTCGTGATTCGTGAAGCGGTGCGGGGTGCCGGGTGGGGCAGAAGCGTAATGTGTCGTATGGTAGAAATGGCCTTTATCGCGGTATCATGTGTGTGTTATATTGTTAAGACGTGCACAAAAAGAAATAGCAATGTGGCAGGCGGACATTGGGCACTACACGAGAACGATCATCAATAAACTCGTATCTTTTTTGTAAAACTTAAGTAACAGTAGGTATGTCCTCAATGGTGAGTAAACTATCTCTAGGCTTTTACATTTCATGTTTGCATTTCAACACACAAGCTCTGGGGGCAAAGTTAGTCTGGCGACCTCCTCAACCTAAGTCGATGATCAAATGGATTAGTCCTGAAGGTGTTCAATGCTTAGTTGCACCGGGATGATATAAATCGATCACGCCGGCATACATTCCTAATCAAATTTCATATATCAAACACATAAATTGCATCATGTTAATGGTGATTCTGTTTTGCAATTTTGACGTAGTCTGACGCGATAGGTACATAATCTTACGCAATCATTTGAAATCAACAGCGTCTTTTATGCGCGTTTTTCACAAGCCCCGAATCTTGTGTGGAAATATAATTTTTTGTGACTGAACAAGGTGTGCGTACATTTGTGATAGACACAATTAGTCGAGGGCTTCAGCTGGTGCGTTACTTATGCGCGCTATTTAGCTCATTCGATGAAATTACGGCTGCAACGCCAACTGCACGGCAGCTACGGTCCATGCGAGCCGCCCCGGTGCGACAGCTACTGCCCCGCCCGCTCCACGCAGTCGACTGACCGGCCAAGGTCACTACCCCGTCCGCCGGGAGGGCGGAGCTTAATGGTCACGTGTTTGTGACGTCACACCTACGCACGGATAGCCTCTACTCCACTGACGGATTTACGGAGCCGATTTTAACATTACGAGGCAACGACAAGTACCCTAAAATTTGATATTTTGTTAAGAGACCATATTGGCGAAAATTGGCGCTTGAGCTGAAATGTGCATTGTGAAAATTTGAAGCAAATTGGACAAATATTGAACAAATTATCGCCAAAAATTAGGGTCTCATGGGGTCTGAAATGCATAGTAATTGCTTACTAACATTTTCTAGTTAGTTTTATTTCGTTTTTCACTTTAATTCTTGATTATTGCAGCCGAATATGATGGCAATTGACAATCCGAGACTCTGCTCGTCGCAAAGTACAGCGGTGCAGTATCTGTTCAGGCGCTCAGCGCGCGCGCCATCTAGGGACAGTTGTGTAAGCTCTGTGTCCGGACGGCAGACGCCTGCGTGGTATACTGACCCGCATGACACGCGGGCACTGCGGCCCAGCATACCCGCTTACTAGCTGAGCCATTTGTGTATGAGAAGGAATAATATTGGCTACAGCTTGGCTTTGGCGAGCGGGCTGTCCGGACGAAGATGTTTCGCTTCACTTAGAACTGAGAATGCTTAGGAACCGAAATATTCATCCCGAATAGCGACCACTTACATATTTGCCATATCTTTCGGATGGTCAATGAATAATGGTTATTTGCCCCGGTCTCAATGCTTTTGCTCACATTTTTGTTTCACTCGTGGCGATGTTGACTAGAGATGTCACTTGGACACCTCACTCTTACTATATCAAGCCTAATGTTTTGAAACCTAGTTATTTAGTTGGCCTCATGAGTCCTCACTTCAGTGTGTAAGTAATGGTCCCAGGCCCGAGATCTATGATAAGCTGATGATAAATAATCAGTAATCATATTCAGTTCTGAAGTCTGAACATATTATCTTTGACAGCGATCCGTTCCAAATGAGTTCCTCAGGTGCCAGGTGGTCGTCGTAGCTGTGTCGCGGCCGTGTCTCTCTTGTTATAAGTACCTACGGTACAGCATCTTGCAGTGGTCTGTCCGCAGGAGTTCCTCAAGTGGTTGTTGCGGCACAGTACAAACTCTGACAGTTTTCGGTCCATCCCGCAGGAGTTCCTCAAGTGGCTGTCGCGGCTGTTGCACGGCACAGTACAGTCTCTGACAGTGACCTGTCCCGCAGGAGTTCCTCAAGTGGCTGTCGCGGCTGTGTCGCGGCACAGCACAGTCTCTGACGGTGGTCTGTCCGCAGGAGTTCCTCAAGTGGCTGTCGTGGTTGTGTCGCGGTACAGTACAGCCTCTGACAGTGACCTGTCCCTCAGGAGTTCCTCAAGTGGCTGTCGCGGCTGTGACACAGTACAGCCTCTGACAGTGACCTGTCCCGCAGGAGTTCCTCAAGTGGCTGTCGCGGCTGTGTCGCGGTACAGTACAGTCTCTGACAGTGACCTGTCCTCAGGAGTTTCTCAAGTGGCTGTCTCGGCTGTGTCGCGGCACAGTACAGTCTCTGACAGTGACCTGTCCGCAGGAGTTCCTCAAGTGGCTGTCGCGGCTGTGTCGTGGCACGGTGGAGGAGAAGCTGCGCTGGATGTTCCGGCTCTACGACATCAATAACGACGGCCGGATCACGCGCGGCGAGATGACCTCGGTCTTCATCAGCATCTACGCCCTGCTGGGCGGCGTCAGCCTGACCATGCTGCAGGAGGACTCGGTCGTCTCCAGCAAAGTCGACCAGGCCTTCCAGGTCAGAGCTACCGTCAAAGAACACTCTCTGGCGCTGAATACTATTGTTTATAACGCTCAAACGTATTTATAAACTAAAGATGGCCGGCCCGGGGGTAACGTCGATCAGCGTGGCTAGTGGCGTGGTTTTCACTACCTGCCTCTCAAACTCCGGAAAGTTACGAAAAGAAAAGCACCACCTAGCGAAAGGTTGCAATGCGACGACTCTTACAAACCTAAAAGGGTTTGACCTAAGCTTAGTTTAGGCACAAGGTCAGAGATCAAAGACCGAAGGTCAAAACCAGTCTTTGTGTAGTGATTTCAAGCTTCAGGTAAGTACTCGTATGTTCAGGAAGATAGCAGGACTCACAAAATTGAACAAAACTGCCTAGAAACCAAAGGATGGCTTCTGGGGAGTTCGAAGATGTGCTCCATGTTTGAGTGTATGGTCAAGACCGTTGTAGAGATGATTGATGTTGATGTCAAAGTTTGCACTCTTTTTGTCGATGTCGATTTGTCACCTATACCAAATTCCAGATAAAAAGATGCGCGCATTAATGCCTGATGTTACTGATATGTTCACTGTTACGATCGCTTTTGACTAATATTTATTCTTCAATGCAAAATCAAAACTTATATCGGAATCCTTCGCCAAACATTGTGACCAAAAATTTTCCAAAGGCTATGATAGGTTGGTCGCAAAAGACGTCAGAGTGACGTCATTTCTGCCATTTTCGACCCAAAAAAGGTTTCGCGGGAAGAACTGTCAGACCTACAGCTTTAGAGATATAGAAAAATGTTTCAGACATAAAAGGTTAAGAATCAAGAGGGCTACAAAACCGCTATCTCGGATTTTTGGAACTTTTGGATTTTGACCCTCAAAATCAAAAAATAGATTTTTCGAATATAATAGCCGAAAAAAAAAATGAATTTCGAAAAAACGGAAGATATGTGATAGTCCCTACCGCCTTCTATCTACATACCAAATTTGAGATCGATACCTCTTTTTTGGCCAAGTTATAGCGAAAAAACTGTTCAAAGTTGATGACTTCAAATTTTCAACTCAATTTTTTAGCAATTCTAGACCTCGCAGCGCACAATAAAGACCACCATTAGACTCCCCGTGACGAGCTGCATCGAATCAATACGTATTTTATGCAACACTAACAACTTTGAAATTTGACCTTTTTTGACCTAACCTTGACCTGACCTTGACTTGACCTCCACCAGAAAGTGACCTAAACCGTACCTGATGGTCTTATAACCAATACCATTGAGTTGGAAATGAAAAACTGGCCATAAAACATGCATCGCACAACCTTAGTAAAGTTGGGTTCATGTGGTGACCCTTGGTGACCTGATCTGTGACCTGACCTGGTATGACCAGTGACCTCTAATAGCAACAAATGTGCTAGACAACTGACGCTTTATCGCTGATTTTCGAAAAAAAAGTGTTTTACTCGGTGTTATAGCGCTTTCCCTAGAAGACCCGTGAATGGTGAAACATTTTATCTTTGACCTGACCTGTGACGTCATCGGTGACAGGCACGTATCCAGGATTTCGCTCAGGGAGGGGCGACAGCCAAGAAGGGGCCCGTGGGTCAGCTCAAAGGGGCCCCACAGAGACCGTCTATCCTGGTGTGAAAAATTGAGAATGTAAAAAAACAGTGAATTTACGATAGAATTCGCCATATCCAATTTTTTGTATACCAGAGGCCAGTTTTACCAACAGAAAAATAGCCGCATGCCGGAATTTTTTGCCTAAAGACCGCTTTGACCTGACCTTAAAAATGATTGAGGCATTTCTGACATTATTTTTTACGCTTTTTCGATTGTCGCTTACTGCGTGTCACTACGTGGCCCAGGAGCCAAGTTAGATGGGAGCGTGACCCCCCCCCCCCTCCCCAGCACAACAAGGAAAACTCAGGCCACAAGCACGGCGCGGGTTAACATAACATGAGTTACCTATTAATCTTGTATTACCTCTTTGCACCCCACTAACATTGGCAGACGATGCTTTTCAGACTCATTTCCATATATTTATAACATTGTACCTATATTCCTCTGCCTCATAACACCATGGGGCACAGCACCATTAACCCGCGCCCTGGTGGGGTCTGTTTATAACGCGACCTGGTGGGGGGGGGGGGCTATTTTTTGCCCCCCCCCCTCGTATCTCCGAAACTATTGGACGGATCCGCAAAATTCAAACGGCGTTCGAAAGGCCTGTCAAATTTGTCTAGAGAAACCAAATTTAATTGACCTCGGGGTCACCGATGACGTCACAGGTCAGGTCAAAGATGACATGTTTCACCGTTCACGGGTCATCTAGGGAATGCGTTATAACACCGAAGAAAACGCATTTTGTCGAGAATCAGCGATAGGGCGTCAGTTGCCTAGTAGATATGTTGCTATTAGAGGTCACTGACAATACCAGGTCAGGTCACAGGTCAGGTCACCAAGGGTCACAGGTCAGGTCACATGAGCCCAACTTTACTAAGGTTGTGTGATGCATGTTTTATGGCCAATTTTTCATTTCCAACTCAATGGTGTTGGTTATAAGACTATCAGGTATGGCTTAGGTCACTTTCTGGTGAAGTTCAGGTCAAGCTCAGGTCAAGGTCAGACCAAAAAAGGTCAAATTTTAAAGTTGATAGTTTTGCATTAAATGGGTATTGATTCGATGCAGCTCGTCACGGGGAGTCTAATGGTGGTCTTTGTTTTGCGCTACGGGGTCTAGAATTGCTAAAAATTGAGTTTGAAAATTTGACGTCATCAATTTTGAACAGTTTTTTCGCTGTAACTTCGCCAAAAAAAGAGGTATCAATCTAAAATTTGGTATGTGGATGGAAGGCGGTAAGGACTATCACATATATTCCGGTTTTTGCGAAATTCAAAAAACTTTTTGGATTTTTCGATGATTATATTCAAAAAAGTTATTTTTTGATTTTTGGGGGTCAAAATCCAAACATTTGAAAAATCCGAGATGGCAGTTTTGTAGCCCTGTCAATTTTACAGCTTTTATGTCATTATCATTTTTCTGTATTTGCAAAGCTATAGGCCTGACAGCTCTTCCCACGAAACCCTTTTTTTGGTCGAAAACGGCAGAACATGACGTCACTCTGACGTCATTTCCGGCCAACCAATCATAGCCTTTGGAAAAATTTTTGGTCACAATGTGTAAAATTAATGTCCGGGAGGGTACTGAAAGTTTGGTGACGATCGGCGCAGCGGTTCTGGAGATATATCGAAAAGTCTAGAGGGGGGCAAAAAATAGCCCCCCCCCCCACCAGGTCGCGGGTTAAAACATATTTGGTCCTATACACAAACATAAACAGTTAAAGGAAAAGGGCCACCTTTAACATGGGGATTGAAACTGAGATAGCCATCTTGTAGCCCGTGTCCGAAAACCTATCTGTCTTCCTTCTTACGGCCGATTTCGGCCTCCATTCGTAGTTATCGGCAATTTTAAAAGAAAATACGCCAGGAATGCGTCCTTATCCAAGGAATGCGTTCTTATCCGACAATACAGCCACCCGCGGCGAGGCTTTGGTTTTTTACCAATCAGCTCCAACCAGCTCAGCTTTAACCAATCAGCTTATCTGACACAATCCGACGAGTCTGTCTTCTGAACGCTGATTGGCTTGAGTGTGACGTCATCGCTATGCCATCATACAGTAGGTGCCGTAGAGAGTATCAACATAGTACCAATATGTTAAATAGTTTTAAATACTTTTTCGCGAATTGTGCACTTCTGGCACCAGTTTTAAAAAGAAAATGAAAAATAATAATGTCAAAATGAAAAACAACGATATCTTCATATTTCACGAAGGTGGCCCTTTTCCTTTAACACCTTCCTTCACGCATTGTTGCATTTGCGTGGCCCGTCTGGCCAAGCCGGGACGGGGCTAACGGGCCAAACGCCCCGGCCCGGGGAGAGCTGGGGTATACCTCCCGGCTCCCCGGCCGGGGGGGATTTGGGCTGCATTGTTCACCCATTCATCCATTGTGTTGTGTTGCTCACGCTAACATATTACTCATTCTTGTCAGTTCAACTATGAAATCAGTTCAATGAGCAGCTCAAATAAAAAACATGCGAATTTGAGACTACGTTCTGTACAGAATGCTCTGTGAACTATGGAGCTGATTTTGTTTGGAGAACAGGAGCAGTCCCACGTCGGGTCAGTCGAAAGGGGCCCTTCATCGGCTGTTGCCTGCTCCTCGGACCCGATGGCCTTGGCAAGGCCTTCTCAGCGGGCCCTTCCGTTTTTGGGGCCCAGCCGGGACAAGCTGTTCCTGAGACTGCAGGCCCGGAAGCGCATATCTGGGCCCGTTTTCTTGGTAGGTACTAGGTACAGGTCTCGCGGGTTTTAGCGGTAGGTTTTGTACCTAGAAAATTTAGTGTACTTCACTCTTCAGGCTATATCTTCGTCGTCTTAAGCTTTTAAGTGTTGAAGATGCGATCGACTTGTTGGGTAGCAAGCCGGCCATAAAGTGCAAAACCTACCGCTTAATCTCGCGAGACCTGTACATTGCCGAGGTCAAGGGCCCATTACTCAAGCTCAAAAGCCTGGTTCAAGGCCTTCTGTGCGCGGACTTTTCCGCTTTTTTGAGACATCCTGGGTCCCAGGTTTTCATTGGCTTGGCCCGGTCCGCTTTTGGGGCCCGTCCCGTATGGGCCCACGGGGCCCTTTTTTGGACCCGAAAGCCTGGACAAGATCTTCTCAGCGGGCCCTTCCACTTCTAGGGCCCAGACAGGCAAAGATGTCCCAGTGACTGGCCCCGGAAGATTTTTTTTTCGGATCCGGTTTCCATAACTTTTCCAGGGCCAATTAGCTCAAAAGTGGGACCTTCGGGCCCGATAAGGATTTGGGGTCCAAAACTGATAAGGTTTGGGCCCGGCAGGGCTAAAGGGGCCCTTCCTCAAGCCTGAAGACACGGCCATATCCTTCTGAACGGGTCCTTCCGCTTTTGGGGCCCTGCCGGGCTCCAAATTGGCACTTTTGGGCACTTTTGGGCTCTGCCCAAAAGTGGGACCGAAGGGCCCAGTTACGGACCCGTTTGTGGCCCGGCAGGGCCCCAGGGGCCCTTCCTCAAGCCTGAAGACACGGCCATATCCTTCTGAACAGGCCCTTTCGCTTTTTGGCCCTGCCGGCCCCAAACTGTCCCTGGCTAGGCCCAAAAGCGGGCCCTTCGGGCCCGCTTTCGGGCTGCCTAGCGGGCCCTGCCGGGCCCGCTTTTGGGGCCCGGCAGGGCCCGGGGGGGGGGGGGGCGACCGCCCCCGTCGCCCCCCCCCCTTGGATACGTCCCTGATCGGTGACCCCGAGGTCAACGAAATTCGGTTCGACAAATTTGACAGGGCTATCGAACGCCGTTTGAATTTTCTGGATCCGTTCAGTAGTTTCGGAGATACGGGGGGAGGGGGGCAAAAAATGCCCCCCCCCCCCACCGCGAGGAAGGTGGCCGGGAGGCCCACCGCCTGCCGGGTTAATTATGAATACGCTGTCCCACGTTTTTACTCTGACTCTGGCGACAGGCATGGTTGACACCTCTACATTTAACCCTCGCCGGACCTATTGGTTTTCTACATACGCGCCGGCCGAGGGGGGGGGGGGGCGGGTACGACCCCCCCTCGCCGTTTCGCCCCTGGTGGAGCTAGCGCGTCGCGGAAAAAACGAGCGTGTGCGCCGTTACGAGACGCAGAGATTGGTACCCGATTTTAAGGTCCTAGGTCAACCGGTGACCTCTGAGGTCAGGTCAAGTGCCCCAAGGTACGGTTTAGTTTTTGGTGAATAACTTCGCAAAAAACGGCCGCAGAGCGCCGATTTTGGCAGCATCGTGTTTGTCTCGCTTGGGCGCGTCGAATGATATACTTTTTGTCCGGGTCAGGTCAACTTGGGGTGTTGACCTCAGGTCAAGGTCAGGTCAGCACCCCCAGGTCACGAAGTTGGTCGAAAGAGGTCATGTCGCATATCATTCGATTCGGCAGGTCTTCCTGAGTCCATTGGTGACTTTCCCGACTCGCTAGCTCAATTTGATCAAGAGTTATTGACGAAAAACTAATATGACCTTGATGACGTCATAAATGACGTCACGCAAGGTCAACATTGCAAAAGTGACGCATCTAACCTTGCAAGGAGTGCATCAAATCACGATTCTGTGTGCTTGAGATAGTTGGAGATCGTTCCCGGCGCCAGAATAGCAGTTTTCATTTTTCCCCATTGACTTATAATGGTGAGGTCACGAAAATGACCTGACCTCATATGACCTTTAGGAAAAATCCGAGATATACAAGTTGTGGGACTCATAATGGATACTAGATCCTGCAAGTTTCATTTCCCTGTGACATCTCCTCTGGCAGTGAGGGCGTTGCGAAGTTGCGACATCTGAAGACCGTGCAGAGGTTCACTTATGACGTCATAGGTCAGTGACCTGACCTGACCCAAAAATATGGTTGGTGTCAAAAGATGCGGCTTGGATCAAAGGTCAGGTATGCCAAGTTTCAGCTCTCTATCGCCAGCGTGTTCGGAGCTATCGCGAAAAAACCCTATGGGGGGGGCGGCACCCGCCCCCCCCCCCCTCGGCCGGCGAGGGTTAAGAATCGCTGAATGTGCACACCTACACATGCTTTAGCCAAATGTGCTGCATCGAATTGCAACAAATAAAACTCACTGATCAGTTGCTAGCCAGCTACAGCCGTATTTTCTGACGTGTTTGCGACCCTTGCCGACGATATGGAGGGTGTTTTATTTCACGTTTCTCGTGTATCTGACAAGCAGAATGCAATAAAAGTGTATTGTTAAGTGAGCTCGAGATGCATCTGTCCGACTCGCATGTATGATTTGTTGTATCATATACGATAAACATGTAGGGAACTGTAGGTTTTAGGAATAAATGGGTTTCATGCCACATGTTAGCTATAGTGCATAGGTAAAAAGTGAAGAAGAGAGAAACACATTCTAAACAAGTTCGCAAATGTGCCCCGTCTAATATAAAATACTGTTTTTAATTTCATATTTCTAGATGCAAACCTTAAACAATTATCCTGAAATGACCAAATAAAAGGCGGACCAAAATGAGACAAAGGGCTTTTTGCTGATTATGGTCGGTATTGTATGATCTACTGAGCTAATACGACTGAATGTTTTCAGAAGCTGACCTGAAAGAACTGTCTGCTCTACTGGCTGACTCGGGTGAATGCTTTCAGAGGCTGACCTGAAAGAGATGTCTGATCTGCTGGCTAACTCGAGTAAATGCTTTCAGAGGCTGGACCTGAACAACGACGGCGTGGTGACGATGGACGAGTTTCTGGACGCGTGCTCGGCCGACCCGGCCACGCTGCAGTCGCTCGCCCACCTATCCACCACACTCTGAGGAGGCGGGGCGGCGGCGGCGGGCCGCCCCGGGCGACAGCCAGGGCGGCGGCGGGCCCCTCCAGCCGACAGCCAGGGCGGTGGCGGCCCCCTCCAGCCGACAGCAAGGGCGGTGGCGGGCCGGCCGGTCAGCCGGGATAGCGGCCCTCGGGGCCGGGTGGGCGCTGTACTCCGAATGACTTCACAGCAGCGGCGGCCGGCTGGGCTGCCCGACACGAAGTACTGCGGCGCAGTATCCGTTCAGGCGCTCGACGCGCGCGCTATCTAGTGACAGTTGTGTAAGCTCTGTGTCCGGACGACAGACGCCTGCGCGGTATACTGACCCGCATGACACGGCTCTGTCCTCGGCATAGTCTGAGGACAGAGCTGCACCACTCGAACCCGGCGGGGACCGGGACGACCGCAGGTGATCGCAGCGCTCGTGCGGTACACACCGCCAGGGTGCGGCGGCGGGTGTGTCTCCATCCTCCGCCCGGCAGCGGTCCTCAGAGCCAACTCGTGTTAATGTTGTGACATTGTGTGCGCGCGCGCCGGGAGCCGTCGTGTCATTGTAACCGTGCGCTCCAGTCTGACCTCGTGTTGTAGTCTTGTGACAGTGTGCTGCGATCGACACGACGACAAGCTGCGATTTGGTGAGGACGAGCGATATATGTTAACTCGGCGCGCACAGGAAAACTGCCCGCATACGGACTGCTGCGGGAAAACTGTTAAATTCCATCTCGTCACTCCCAGAGTAAACAGTGTTTACTTGAATGTGAACAAGAGCATGCTTTATAAGACAATTTATTAATATTTTATCGTTGACGTATCGTTAACGTATCAACTTTGTTGTCTTTCGTTGTGAATGAATCTGTATTTTCAAACAGTTCTTGAATAATTGATAGAATCTACTGACCTTTCGGAAATAGACAGTGCACAGCCCAAATATCGGTGAAAGTGCAGTCAACGTGGCGCGCTCAGCAGACACAGACGCATGGAGTCTCGGCAGTGTCCGGACTGAGGACGATAGCCCAGCGACGGCACACTGCCTCAGTGTGACTCCCTGCCATTGGCGAATCCAGGAGGGGGGCATTTGACGCTGGGAGGGAGGCTCTTCATAAAGGCTCTCTGATTAAAAAAGTTGATTTTGGTATTGCTTTAGCCGCAATATAATTCAAAGCAAATCCTTCCCAATAAGTGGCTAATTTGTATATGCTACAGAGATATTATTTTATCAATAATGGACGCTGCGGGAGGGATAAATGCCCCAAATGCCTGCCCCCATGGATCCGCCAGTGCTCTCGGCGAGTGGTCGGCGCCTATCCCAGCGTTGTGTTGGATGTCGACCTTTGGTGCTGATCCCAGTGTTGGGTTGGACGTTTGTCGACATGTGTCGCCCATCTCAGCGTTGGGTGGGCGATGACATTTGTCGACATGTGTCGCCCATTTCAGCGATGTGAGGTCGGTCCGCTGTCGACATGTGTCACCCATCTCAGCGACGTGATGTCAGTCGACATGTGTCACCCATCTCAGCGTTGTGTGGTGTCCGTCGACATGAGACGCGTGCCCACTGCCGTGCGATCGTATCATCTTTCGACCGGCCGTATACCTACGGCTCGGATCAGGCCGGGGTTCACCGTGCAGTGCAGAAATAAAGTGTTCAGCTTACGCGTCAGCATTGCGCGTGAGATTATGTTGTAAATAAAACATTGCCAAGAAATCGCTGTCATTCACACAAGTTATGCTGAACATTGTTCTAATTTTCTATTTTCAAGAGAGGTGCCAAGACATGCCTTGCACATTACCCATTACCCGCTGTACCTATTTTATCCCGTTCGTTCTAGCCCCTCCCGCCTGCCCCCCCCCCCCCCAGCACCACCACTGCCACCAAACCGACTGAGTTGGCTGAGGCGAGGCTGACTGAGGCGAGCGCCTCCCCTCCCTTCACGCTAAACAGCGCCTGGTTGTCGTGACCTCTGACCTCACCGCCCGAAGGCTCGTCCGCTGTCCAAGGACGCCCTGCGTGGGCCGCAGTGATAGCCTCTGCCGAGTCCCGCCTCTATCCACCGTTCACCACGCGCCGGATTCATTCATGCCTCTGTGTCTTAGCGTCCTACCCGTTGGGTGGCGCCACTGTAGTCATAGGCGACTGCAGGGTTAAGCCGCGGTCAGAATGCCCCAAACGGCGGATTTTGAGGTTTTCTTTCAATTTCTCCGAAACTAGCCGGCATACGATCAAACCTTTTTCCATGATCATGGTAGGGAGCTATACGAATAAATCGGTCACATCTTCAAGCCTACAAAGCTGAAGACGAAAAGATATAGCCGGAAAAACCTACCCTATTAGTGGCAGGGGGTTGTTTTTATCCACCCCTCAGGTTTTTCGGGAATATCTCCGAAACCGCTGAAGCTACGATGCTGAAATTTTCTGACTTTTCCTAAAACTAAATTGGGCACATTCCCTGAAAATTTCAAGTTCATAACTTTACCAGGGGCGGCTCCAGAGCACTGGGAATTGGGGGGTCCTATTCGTGAAGCGAGTCATTTGGGCGAAGATCACGATGCTGCACCAGTTTTACGAACAGTGAATGAAAGGTATCATGTGATAACATATACAAAGTTATTGTGCATCCTCTTTTGACACGTTTTTGCTATAATAGGCGGATCCAGGCGTCCAAAAGGGGGGTTATTTTTTACCTCCCAACATAGGTGCCCTGACACCGCCTATGCATGACCAATACAATTTTAGTCGTTCTCTCATAAGAAAATTGTAACATAACAAGACCATTGCCACCCTTTTTAGAAACAGTACCAACAAAAACCTTATTTACTATACTTTTTGTGTACCCCCAATCTCAATGATCTGTATCCGCCTATGATTTTTGAAAATGCATATTTTTAGGATCCATGTGAATTCCTGGTTCATTCTCTATCGATCGGCAAAAGTTGCGTTAAGATTGGTTCAGAAACCGGCCGTGATAAACAGTCTAAAATGTATCTGCAATTTGCCCGTTTTTACCCCCCTCTACCCCCTATTGACATTTTTAATTTTTTTTTTTAGAAATGTAGATCTCGTTGAGCGAAATCGAATGCCGTTTGAATTTTGAAAATCGGCCCTTTAGATCTCGAGATATCAAGGGGGGTCGTAAACAGCCCCCCCCCCTGCCACTAATAGAGGTAGCTAGGAGCCTGCCACTAATAGGGTTAAACCCGCGAGACCTGTATGTACATTGACGGCATCCTTTTGACACATACCTACAGTATTACCTATCCTGAAAATGTCCAAGTCTAAGCGATCTCAGGTCAGGTGCTCAGGTCAATGAAGTCAGCGTCAACATTTTCCGGTTAGTTTTGCCCTTTACTCTTGGTTCTTACAGCGAATGGATGACTGCCTGCGTCCGGGCGTGCCGTTTTCGCGTGTAATTTCGCCGATGAGGAATTCCTCACGAAAACAGCAGTTCGGGCATCGCGAAACGCAAGGACACTCGGGAGGTCCGGGCTTGTTCCAACGGCCGTATTCGTGAGGCGGGAAAATTATACGCGAAAATCGGCACGTCCGAACGCAGGGCTCGAGACTGCCCGCCGGGAAGTAATGTGGCGCAGTATCAGTTCAGGCGCTCAGCGCGCGCCATCTAGGGACAGTTGTGTAAGCTCTGTCTCCGGACGGCAGACGCCTGCGTGGTATACTGACCCGCATGGCACGCGGGCACTGCGGCCCAGCATACCCGCTTACCAGGTGGAACAATTGTGTATGAGAATTGAGAAACGATTTGACTGTTGAGGGGGCGCCATTGGGCATTGATGGGACCACTCGGGCCACTGTTGCCTTCAGCAGGGCGCCGGACGCCTTGAGCTTGGGTGGGGCGACTGTAATATCAAGGGGTGGTGTCTCGGATGGGGCGAATGTGATTTTCAGAGGGGCGCCGGAGAATGCGGGTGCTTTAGAGGGACGCCATCGATCTTGGATGGGGCCGATTGGGGCAGCTGTGAGCTTCAGAGGGGCGCCGGGCCCGGGTGCTCTAGAGGGGCGCCATAAACTTTTAGCCCTCGCCGGCACAGGCCATTTTGAGTCCTTCGACGGCACAAGGGGGGTTGGTACGGCCCCACCTCGCGTTTGGCCCCCGATGGAGCTAGAGCTTCGCGGAAAAAGCGAGCGTGTTGCCCGTCACGAGAGGAAGCCAATGCTACCCCATTTCAACCCTCGCCGGCACGGGGGGGGGTTGATGCAACCCCCTAAGATTTTTCGCAAATAACTCGCGTAAATAGCGGCTGATCGCGACGAAACTTTCTGTAACCTCGCATTGCTCAATTTTACACCTATCCTGAAAATTTCATGACCCTGACCCAAAGGACCTTTGACCTGTGACCTCTTTTCCGAGACCATGTTTGGCCGGAATCGCGATTCGGCGTATGTCGGCTCGCATAGCGGCGCGTTTGCAAGCTTTTCGTGGTTTCAAACGTTCAAACATGTGATTTGATGTTGCTCCCATGCATTAGGGTGGGTGTCAAGGTCACCTGAAGGTCAGGTCAGGTCATTGACCTTTGGTGACCTCGGGTGACCTCGGTTCACTTTTTCAAGTTTTACATGTTTCTAGGCTAGTTTTTTTTTTTGGAGCTGAATTCGAATTTAGCAACCATTTGAACATTTACGAAGTAGTTTTGGTGCCTTCGTAACATGTTACGAAGCTGTCAGAGGCGGTTGACACGTATTACGAATAGGTACCCGTCACAACTCCTACCGGTTGACCTGACCTGACCTAACCCTCACCCGACCTGGTCTAAATGCTTCAAGACATCATCTCTGATCAAAACTAACACGATATTCGTGATCAGCACCCCGGAAAACCACATAGCAGCCACACTTTACGACTTTCTAACAGGGCCCGATTTTCCCGGTTTTCGGGTCATTGACCTGACATGGAAGGTCACCCGATGAGCTAGGACCTTAAAATTGGATATTATCGGCTTCGTCTCGTGACGGGCAGCATGCCCGTTTTTTCCGCGAAGCTCTAGCTCGATCAGGGGCCAAACGCGAGGGGGGAGGGGGGTCGTAGTTTGTACCAACCCCCCTTGTGCCGTCGAAGGACGCAAA